AATTACTAATATCCTTTTCATCTTTACACAACCCTTCATTTGAATCTTCTGACCAATCTTCTAAGATTAAGGCTTCATCTCTACATAAAGTGAAATATGACTTTAGAGAAAACAAGTTGTCAATCCCCATCTCTTCAGAAACATGAATGTGAAATATGGAATCCCCAACTTTTACTCTAACAACCCTCTGGATATTCTCTTGGATAAGGGTCAAGATGAGGATTTTTGCAACATCCAATCTCTTCTTCCTAATTGTGTTGCCATCCAAGATATGAACTTTCCAAACAAACAAGCAACTGTTTCAAAGAAGCTACTCTTCCATATATGCAAAAGAACTCCTTGGCATCTCAGCCATGTGAAGCACTCGGTTGCCACCTCCTTTGGGGTCCAGGGTGCCATGGTCTAACTTTTGGAAACCATTGTGCTAGCCATTCTCTTCCATGTTCCACTAAATGTTTTAGCTCCTCTGCATCATCATAGGATATCAACACCAAATTCCCACCCATTCGTGTAAGGTTTGTTGAGAAATATCCCTCCGTTAGAAATTTGTCCTGAAGGGTACAAATAATTTCAAGGCATCTTACATTTCCAACATAGCAGTTGCAAGGCCATTTCATTTGTTCTTCGTCAACCTACACTTCTAAGTCAACCCATTCATCCTTTTCCACACTCGAGTTTAGGTTATGTTTCTTTGCATGCCACACTTGCCTGAACTTTTGATCTTGTTCTACTTGACCCTATTGCTTCCTTGCACCATTCTTCGACACTTCAGCATAAGACAATGTGCTTTGTTTTGTTCTCATCCCTACATGAGATGAAGGATTTTGCCTCTTTATATTGTCTTGTCTTGAGAACTTAGCTAGATTAACCTAAATTGTGTGCTGCCCCACCCTAATCTGATTAAGTTTCCCCTCCAATTCCTTGTGGTTCTTCACCTATAAGAATCAAACAAAGCCAAATCGGAGTCCCACTTTGTCCCTTTTTTTGCAACAAAAACATGTATCACCCTCCCATATTTGATGAAACTATGCCACATCTCATTGATTTTCCAAGCCTTTGGGAAGCCAATGAAGAAGAAGGAAATTGCTTGCTCTAAGACTCCTTTGTCATAGCCTTCAAATGGTCCTCGAAGTCCTCTAATATTTCCTTTAAGTGTCCTATCATATCCCAGCTGTGTTTTGGTTTGAGGCTTTGGGTTGAAGTTGTTTTGGTATGGTTTACGCTCTCTCAAGATAGGGATAGTCACTGGTTGGCCAAAAAGCACTGGACGAGGCGGGGATGTGGTTTGTGGTTTGGTTTCTCACCCATTATTTTCTCTCTCTAACACTCATCTCTCTCTGAGTGTCACTCGACAACTAAGATTGAAGTAGATTTTGTCCATATAACCAAAGTATTACTTTAGACACCTTTTTGCAAAACAAAAATGTTGCAACATGTTGCCAAGAAACATCTTTTCTAGTTTCCAGAGATTGTGGCAAGAAGTTGCTTGTTAATTTTTCCAACAATTAAAACAAAAATGTTTTCCCCATCACTTTCATTTTTGAAATAAATAAATATATATATATATATATATAAAGAAGTTAAATAATAAAGCAAAGAGAAAATTAAGAAGTTTTAATAAAAATATTAGAATGTCTAATAATAATTATATGATAAATTTAATAAATTAAGACCCATATTTTGACCATATATTTAACAATTATAATTGGATATTCTCATTTTTTTAATGGTAGGACGTTCTAATTTTCTCTTTTCTTTAAATAATATAGAAGTAAAAGTAGAAACAAGAAAGTGTTATGCCACTTTTATTATGTTAATTAGCTTTCATTTTTGTGTTTATTTATTTATTTATTGTGTGTGTGTGTTTATTTCTGCTTATATGTTGTAATTTAATGTGGGAAAATGGAATAGTAACTCTATTTACCATAGGAGCTCCAGTCTGTAAGGAAATTGAAAGTGTAAGAAACAGCCCTTGCACCAAGCCAGTTGACCAGCGTTGTTAGGCTTCCCCTTACTCCTTTGATATTTATGGGGAATATCTGCAAGAAAAAGTTAGGATCGGTCAATTAAGTTGAAATAATTTTTTTTTTCTTGTTAGAATGTTTAGATGACTATTTCATAGATGAGAATTGCTTATCTTGTAACCTCAGACAGTAAAGCCCAAGGAAATGCACCCATCCCTACTAAAATCCTACAAAAACCTGCGATGTAGAATTTTTTTTTTTTTTTTTTTGATATTTACTATTAGGGTGTCTTGTATCAATTTTCACATATTTCAAGATTAATCCTTTCCCTAACAATCTTAAGGACATACTCTCCACGTTGGCTTAGCATATTAAAGAAAATTAATTAATTTTCTTCAATGTAGGCTCCAAGACTTGAATTTTAAATTTAACTTAATTATAAAATGACACTTGTTTATTATTAGATTCAAACTTTGAGCTTATGTTGATCATAATGTGAAAGGAAATATGGTAAGTTGTATGTATGTTGCCACATTGAGTGGATAATATGATTTGATAAAGCGACATATAGATTACCACCATGCCTGTTACAGTGAGAATAGGAACTGAATTCAGTGCAAGTTCATGGTCCTGTTTCAGGACAAGGTATTAGGTATGTATTTTGCTGTATTTTATATACTCATTTCATTTATTTTTAATAGTATTAATTTTATTTTTTTAACTTTTTAAATACAAATGTTAAATAAAAATTTGGCAACTTATATAAAAAAATAATTAAAATTTTTTTTCTTTTTACATAAAAAAAAAAAGAGAAAATCAAGACGTCTAATCACAAGTATTAAATGTATAGGGTATAGTATAAGATCTAATTTTATCAAATTCATCGTATGATTATTATTAGATATCCTAACATTTTTAATGTAAAAACATCCTGGTTTTCCCTTTTCCTTTTTTCCCTTTTCCCTTTATATAAAGTTCTTATCAAATATTTTTATTTGATAAAAAAAATTTTGATTACTCCCTCCATCCATTTTTATTATACTTATTTTAATCCTTTTTCAAATATGAATTTTAAATAAAAATTTAATAATTTATATAAACAATTATTGCAAAGTTTGTTCGCTGCGTCATGTATACCTATTAACATACCCTGCATGGAGATCAAAATGGCAAAGTAAAGCTGGAAGAAATGATGTTCAGGATGAAGAAATAACTGAAAGATACATAAAGTTGATGAAATTGGATAAATAAAAAGAGGCAAAGAGAGTAACACATAATTGTAAAGTTGTAAATTTACATCTAAAATCACACTTATGCATGTTCATTGTGAAATATTCTGTACTTTAAAATTTTTGGTGATTAGTGAATAATTATTTAGTTGTATCTATGGGAAAAAAATATATAATAAAATACATCTAAAATTATGTAATAAATTTAGAAACATATCCAAAATTTATGTAGTAAATAATAAAATAAAATAAATAGTATTGATATAATAAAAAAATTGAGTTAAAAGTTAAGTTTAAATATTTAGTCCAGAAAAAATAAATATTAATTACTAAAATAAATATTTTAAACTAATTTTAAGCACTATAGAAATAAAAAAGAAAAAACACTACAAAAGTGAAGATCTAAGGTTTTTCCAAGAAATGACAGAAAGATGTTAAAAGTTTAAAGATTTTTTTTACTTATTTTTTGGAAAAAAATATTAGAAATTAAAATATCATTTGTATAGTTAATATATAGATTAACCTTAAAAAGTTATTAATTGTTATGTCAACATTTTGTTTTAAATTTAATGACAAAATTTACAAAAAAATTAATGATATTTATTTTTATAAATATTAAGAGTAAGTGAATAAAATAAAATTTAAAGATAAAATTCCAATAAATACAAAATTTTAAGACTAATTTAAAAAATTTTTAAAAGAACAAGGGTCATAGCCACTGCTCAGATGGTTACTGGAAAAAGTATCTAGTCATGCCTTACCAACTATGTTTATCCTTATCATCTTGTGTTGCATCCACCTTTTTTTTTTTTTTTTGAAAAAAAATAATGATTAAATTAGTAAGATTAGTAAGATTAGTATTATTTGTGAGGGATATTAAATTTAGGTCAAGAATGTAATCCATCGACTTCCCTTCTGGACCGCAATGACCACCATCGAGTTACAATGGGGGAATGCATGTTGCATCCACCTTTTGCTTTCATCTAGAAATGACTCATGGCATTCTTACCATCTCTCTTGAAAAGGAAAGAAAGAAAGGACCTGGG